GGCATATTTTACTGTGTTGCTAATAGTGCATCACAGTGTTACACAAGTCACTTCCTGTTGCCAATAGGTAGCGCTATAACAGTAACCGAATATGAGCATGTAGATGTGTTCAGGCCAGGACTGTCATCAAACTTGTTAAGTTTCGGGCAGATTGGACACTGCATGCCTGAGTTACATCAACTTCCTGTTTCACTGCATTAATAGCATGCTTTAACACTTAGCTAAGTGTTGCTAGCATGTTTTTTTAATGTTTATAACATGTTGCCAGCCTATGTAACACTTGCTGATGCTTTTTAATATGTTGCTATGAGTCCATTACAGTGTTAAACATGTCACTTCCTGTTGCCAGCAGGTGGCGCTATGACTATAACCGAATATGGGCACGTAGATGTGTTCAGGACAGGACTCTTATCAAACTTGTTAAATTTGGGGCAGATTGGACACTGCATGCCTGAGTTACATCAACTTCCTGTTTCACTGCATTAATAGCATGCTTTAGCACTTAGCTAAGTGCTGCTAGCATGTTTTAGTATTTTTCTAGCATGTTGCCAGACTATTTAAGAGTTGCTGGCGCTTTTTAATATGTTCCAAGGAGTCCATAACAGTGTTAAACATGTCACTTCCTGTTGCCACATAACAGTGTTAACCATGACACTTCCTGTTGCCAGCAGGTGGCGCTATGAGTACAACTGAATTTGGGCATGGGTATTTGTTCAGGACATAACACCTATCAAACGTGTGAAGTTTGGGGCAGATCGGACATTGCTTGCCTGAGTTATAGCAACTTCCTGTTTTATGGCGAAACATCAAACTTTGTCAGGCCGCCAGGGACACGCCCCTTGACGAAAACTCAAGATCTTCGCAATTTAACGTCACAAAGGCCTTATGATGACCCTCACCAAATTTGAAGATGATCCGAATAAAACTGTAGGAGGAGTTCGTCAAAGTACGAGGCCTGGAAATGTCAAAAACTGCACAAAAATTGTACAGTAAATTAAAAATAACGTGCATCCTGTTGGGTTTTGGATTTTGTACCAACAGACTTTTTTGTAGGTAATGGTGTGTTACGCACGTGTACTGATTTTCG